AGTACAAAAATTTGGCTCTAAATCCATTACTTGAAGGCTTCCCCTACAAAATTCTGCTCCCGTAAAAAAACCACCTGTCGTTTTCAGTTCTCGCATTGTTGGAAGGAAAACTTCAACCGAGAACGAAGTTAGCGCACTGCAATGTCTTACATGAGCTTATAAGCGAAAAGAATCACTACAGAACCAAATCATTTCAAAATTACCCTTAAATGTTGAGCGAATTCAATTTCCTGAACGTCACAACCATATCATATGTCAAAGTCTCATCACCAGATGGCTAAAGCCCAATGATCATTTGGCAGTCTCATGTCTTAGAATCCAATTCGCATAGTACGATTGGCGGAAAAGCGGGACCATTGGAAAAACCTAACGTGCCTGTTTGCTTCTGTAAATCAGAAACAGTCAGTAGCGAACGATGAAAGAAGAATCACGACAATGGGGTTTACCGCAGATAGAGGCATGAAAATATTCATGCAGACATTCCTGCACGATTTTAACTATCCCAAATTTCCATCGTCCTGAGGTACTCCTTGAATACTGAACAAATTGAACAAAGGTATACACACGATTCCAGCATTCCTTTCGTTTCGTATTCTCATAGCTTCGAAAGAAGCTGCTGCTCCCCTAATGTCGAAAGTCTGTCAGCTAGGCATCATGAATCATTTTTCAAAAGTTGCAGAAGAAAAATTAGAAGACCCTTTAGAACTTGCAGAGTCGTTTGACGAATGACGCTCAAATATTTGCAATCAGAAAAAACTGACACTTGCGTATGCACTGTTATCATTGTGTTACTAATACCGTCGGTAAATCATCAAGAATAAGTTTGAGTTGCGTACTACTTTAGAAAGGACCCAATTCTGTAACATCTGTGTTCTTGTGACCCTTTCTCGATGGTTACATAATAATGATTGAGTAACGGATCATATTCCATATCGAACACGGTCCTGTGAATTCCTATCATTCATCACGGCACTCTTTTAAAAACGTCATGATTTTGAAGGAAAATGCGATAAGTCAATCACAGGTTGAATAATCCTCCCTAAACACAGACTGAAAAAAGGTGATAACTGGGAAGGCTGGTAAGATTAATATACATATCTATTTTACCTGAATAACATCAAAACACTACAAGGCATCTACTTTACAAAGTACATACATTCAGTGAGAGAACAAATTACGGATATGTGACCACATGACTTCGGTCAATAATTTAGCTTTGGCGTGAATAAATAATCTGAGGCAGACGGCGGTTACACTGACTGAATGCAGACTTAATGACGCTAAATAAAATCTTTGAAATGATTATGGTGGAAAGGCTAAGACGCCAGTTGTAATAATCCTTCTATTTGCCTTTTCGCTTTTAGTCATATAAAAGTGACTGTAATATTATGGCGCAAGATAAAGAAAATAAGTTGTTAATCATGATGTTCATCAATTTATTTGTGCAAATTGATAAGTACGGTGGCCTACAATATTTTCGTTTTCGTTCGTCATGTAATTTTTCAACAATGAATACTTATTTTGTTGCTGTTTCGCAATCGGCAATCAGCATGTTAAGCTAACAGAGCATAAATAGGAAACTAACCCAGATTTATGATGTCCGACCAATTACAGAGTGAATATGTAATGTATATTTTATTAGTCTCCCAATGTCTCACAATCCCATTCTTCCGGCCCATTTGATTCTACCATTTCGGTCAGGCTCTACTTCAGGAGATGATAATTCAGAAATATTGTTTTTATCAGGAGTAATTAGATCCATAATGCGCAATTTAACAGCGCGAAAACCTAACAACACAAATACGTTAACTGTGCACTGTACACCGCTCTCTGCACGCCAGAATGCATTAATGACGTAGTTATGAATAAATAAGCAATACATTCTTTAATTTCTTAAATTCTCTTTGTGAAAGACACAGAAACTCAAAAATCGGTCGATGCTAAATACTAATATACCATAAACGGTCTTAGCCTTAAGTCGGCCGCTAGTGCTCTATGGCAAGCAATTCACAGTGCAACACACTGCACTGTGATGAAAGCTGAAGTGTAGGCTTCATAAATCGATAAAGACACAAACGCGTCTGGTTTACGTAGGATATAATCGATATAAGCGACTTATAGCAGCTCAGATAAATAATTAAACAGTTACTTATCAAGCTATAATGCTAAATCGAAATCAGCCAATTAAACTACACATTTTAAAGCTTGCACTGCTCAGTATACGGCCTTATCTTTCTGTCTCCGTTAGCTGTGA